AACCCCAGTGGGGGCCACATGTGAAAATGTTGCCTCGAGTCAGGTACCAGTAGTGACGGCTGTCCAGCAGCCCCAGGGGGAGGTTGTGAAAGAGACAAAGAGCAGAGCCTTCAGACTACACCACAGAGCTAAAGGCAATTTAGAAATACCATTAAGATAATTCACATATTTAAAAAAATTTAGTGATTTGACAAGCTTTCACCAAGACTCTCAAATTCTCAATACTTAAAATACTGTCTTCAGTCCCAGCCCTGCCTTTTGAAGGGAAACAGGCTTCCTTCCATTGACTGATAACACAATAGCTTTGTGTACTGTGACCACAAGCAGTGTCATCACAGATGTGGCGCCATCCAGTGACAGTGGGGTTATTAAAGAATCAAGTGTTCAGACCCGATAATCTGAGAACTTGATCCAATTTCCTTCCAGGGTTTATACAGATGAGGGACTTACTGACAGCTGTCAGGGTCAGGAAAGGTTGGCCCGGGAGGCAGCTGCTCCGACCCGGGCCTGCCCTGTCCTGGCACAGCCTCAGCCCTCCTGCCTGTGGTGAGGGGGAGGGGTGGCCTGCTTTACCCGAGCGCCTTTTCTTCTAGGGAGTCCTGTCACACTGACACCCACTTCACGTGGAGTTCAACAATAAATGTCTAATTAAAACTTGTAAAAAGTACCTGAGTTACAGAGACTCCAAGAACGAACCTGTGGTTACCAAAGGGCAGGAGTGGGGAGGGAGAAGGGGACGGAGGGGTATTATGTTCAGTACACGTGGTGTGGGGGGTCATGGGGAGAACAGAGCAGCAGAGAAGGCACACAGTGGATCTGTGGCACCCTGCTGCACTGATGGACAGTGACTGCACTGGGGTGTGGGTGGGGACTTGATAATATGGGTAAATGTAGGAACCACATTGTTTCTTCATGTGAAGCCTTCGTAAGACTGTATATCAAACATACCTTAATAAAAGAAAAAAAAAGTACCTGAGTTATTTTGGCGTAGCCAAGTTCACGCCCTCAGAACAGGAGTCCCAGCACGCAACTGCTTTCTGAACCTAAACGAGTGACCCGCATGAAGGGCAGCACCCGTGCCGCCTGAACGCTCACCAGGGCGGCGCCACTGCCACACGCCGTCAACGATCCTCAGGTCTCCTCTGTCCCCACCAGGCCATGGTTTCTACATCCTAAGTTCACGAAGTTCCAAGTCAGTGTCTGCTGACTGTCAGGCCCAAACGCCCCAGTTCACAAGCAGGTACAGAGCACCCAGGCCAGGTTTTCCAGCTGTGAATTACTTGGCAATTATGTCACCTAAATTAAAAAACAGGCTGTTTATCTTCTCAACAATTCATTTTCACAGTAACTGACTTACTGCAGTTTACAGTCATCAGTCTGTGACAGATTGAAAATAAAAATTGGTACTTCATGTAAAAAGTTTGAGAAACACTTCTAGATCTGCCCCAGCTGCCACGGAAAACCGCTGGGAGTTTTCCGTGTAGACTTGGTCTCCGTGAGCACCGCTGGCCGTGCCTGAACCTCCGGCCCCACTCCATCCACACACCAGGAGGAAGGTCCCAGTAGGTGGGGGGGGGGGAGGTCAGACTTAAGCCCCATGCCCTCTGCCACCGTAGGAACCACGTCCCCTAGCTCAGCATCCCCCACCTAACTGGAGACTGGAGCAGTCAAACACTGTCACCTTTGCAAGGTGCCATGTCCTCGGCTGCTTTCGTGGGCCCCACAGCTGCGGCTCCAGGAGGACCTCTGCCTTTAAACCTCCCAGCCTCCCCAGCAGGCGGACTCCTGCTGAGGCAGACCTCTGCCCTCTCACTGTCATCCCCTACTAGAGACGCTCGCAGGGGTGATTATGCCTTGTTCATTTTTATCTTCTCCCCATCTAGCACTATGAGCTGCATTTAATTCAGTATTTTTAACTAAATGTTCATGTAGTTTGACCTAGTGAACACAGCACCTTTAAAAATTCAATGTAACTGCAGTATCCAGATTAACCAGTTCCCGTGTTTGATGTTTCTACGTGACTTTGTGTATGGCTTTATGTATGTACACACGCATTCTGAAGTTTCAAGGTAAAAATGCATTGCCAGATTCTCCTCCCTTGGACCTATTTTCCAGGCTATCATTTAAATTGGTATTTCATGATGCCACACCAAAATTAAGACTTCATTATTGCTCCTTTTTTTGCAGGCTTTGATTCCCTGCAAAATGGCCAGGTTGGCTGGGAAAATTTGTAGAGCAGGAGATGCTGTGCACATGCTTGGAGCACCAGGGTCCCAGACACCATCAGGCTGATGAAGGGGCGGCTTTTGTAACTTTCAGAGCTCACCTCGACGCCCCCTACTATTAAAATACTAAAGCTAAACCCAAAAGAAGCGGATGCGCTGTCAGAGGTAAGGGCTCACCTCTTCACCTGCACGGCGGGCAAGGGAGAGAACTGGGCCCCAGGTTTTAGACGGGTGTGGAGGGAGACCTACTGAGAGAGAGCTGAGCAACTGCGTAGGAAAAAAATGAGCCCAAGTTCGAATCCAGTCTCTTTTCGCTTCTGCTTCTGCAACCTCAGCAGTCACTTCAACAAGACATTTCTGCCCCCAGCGTCTGGTAGCCCGCCGTTAGCTAAGGTTCATTACTAGAGTCCCTCAGGACAGGAACAGTAGTACCCTGTCTACGAGACAAGCCGGGGTATCTGACCAGAACACCCATGAGAAAAATAGAGGCAACTATAAACACACTACGTAAGGGCATCCACATAAAACCAACGGGCTGTTTCCTTCCTTCCTGGGGCAACGAATATGCCCTTAATAGAAGGCGAGGATAATGGCCAACCAAAGCCCCAAGGGAACAAAACCCAAAACCCAAGGGTGCACGCACTCCAATGCCCACGCCCAGCCCCAAGCGGAACGCCACCCACTGGGGGTCCCCGACCCCACGTGGACTCAGAGTCCTGACTGGTGCAATTGGGAAAATATAAAAACAGGGAGCTTAACAAGGTCTCATGATATAAGAAACTTTAATTGTTCATCTATAAATTTGCAATTGGAAAAAATGAATTCCATTTACATCAGCATTGAGAAACCGAAAATACTCATCAAAATCATACCAAACACTGCTGAGAAAAATTAAAGATGACAAATGGATTCAACCCAATCCTAAGAAATCATGACCCCACCAGGCTTAAAAATAGAAATTTACACAACAGGCTTATTTAATATTTACACAGAAATACAAGGAAATGGAAGTCAGACAGGCGAAAAGGCCTCCATTACAGGGCCAGCAGGGCGCCGCTACCCAGCAGGGACTCCAGAGGGCACACAGACCCAAGTCCGTGAGAACCCCCCCACCCCCCCCCACCTCTGTACCACGCGTAAGAACGAGATGAAAGGATGCAGAACCCCAAAAAGTCTTTTATAAGAAAACAGTCACAACAGGGGGCTGGCAGATTTATTGAGACAGAGAGCTACTTAAAAAGCTAACAAACAAGACGAAAAAAAAAGGACTTCTTGTCAAAACACTACTAGAAAAATGAAGAGGCAGGACAGACTGGGAGAAAGCGTCTATCTGTAGGCAAATAAAGTCCCACGTACCAGTAACAGAAAGCCAACCTGAATCCCAAACTTACTAATGGCCAATGAACACACAAGAACATGTCATCAGAGAAGTGCCCATTTAAACAGGACACTACAGACCCAGAAGCCTAACACTTCCATGTGAATGTTCATAGCAGCTTTATTCATACCATCCCAAAGTGGAAACCAATAAAATGTTCATTAACAAGAGAATGGATCAATGTCGTACATTCATACAATGGAGTGCTACTCAACAGTAAGAAATACACGGTTCAACCTCTCAAAACTTTTTACTAAATAAAAGCACTGTGTGAGCTTATACTATGTGGCCCAGTTTCTAGGAAGGTCCGGGGTGCAGAGGGGACTCTGGTCTGTTGTGAACTAACTGGCAGAAGCACCGACCCTGCAGTGGCTGCTGTGCTTCACGGCCTAGAGAGGATGTGTAAGTGGCTGTGGCTGAAGTTTCCCAGAATTGTACTTAGGAGTAAAGGCAAGTGGAAGGAGAACTAGGGACAGACCAGTGGGTTTTGAGGGAGACGTGGTCAGTAGTAGGAATCCCGGCGGAGGGCTGCTTGTAGAGCCTGAAGGGAGGGATGCACTCCAGAGCAGTAGCAGGAAGGGCAGACGGACGAAGAACGTAGAGCTGGAAGGTGGGGACCCAGGAATCAGTGAATCGGTGGCAGTTACCTGGCTAGGACACTACCGTCCACAGTGTAGTATCACATTCACCATCAAGGTACCTGAATCTGATCAGGTGACACGACGACTGCTCATCAGTGTCCCCCAAACTCACCTGTTCCTAGGAGAGGAGCTGCATCTTATTACACACATAATACAACATCTTGCTTATTCTAGGATAAACCATTTCCTTTTTTATTCAGATTTTGGAAAATATTCTCTTATAAGCTTATTCTAAGAAAGACCGACCTGGATATACATTTTAATATCATTCTCAGCTAACTGTAGCTACTGAGCCTGAAGAGTTTAAATTCTGGCAAGTAAACGGTGAGACAGGTATGCAGCTGCAGGGCAAACGACCAGGCTCCACCTTTGCTCGGACACAGGCGACTTCCGGGCTGCCCCTCCGCGCCCCACCAGGGCTCCTCCAGCAAATGCTGGACGTGCCACCCTCACACTTTTCACTTCCTGAATCCAAACTCACAAAGGCACAGTCACCCCTACTACTTGGCCTTTCCACTCGGTCACATCCTAGCATAGCCCAAATATTTCATTTGTGCTTCAGTTATGAGGCTGCTAACGAATAAATTTTTAAATCTGAGTATAAATTATTCTCCCAAGAGCTTAAAATCTTTTCACAATTTTCAAATCTTACCAAAAAAATTGTATTAAATATTGATTTCCTCAATTATAAAAACTTCAGATGCCTAGTATTTGGTCATGTATACTATTTAAAAAATACATCAACAAAACACCTTCTGAATATCACTAGATGCTGAATTAAGCAAACTTTTATTGAAGCTTAAACTGTGGTACAGAAACACATTTCAAGTGATTTAAAGTCCAACACCATGAAGAGAAATCAATGGCACCAAAATTCTCCCTCCTCCGTCATACATACTAGGATCTATTTAGATTACTATCCAATCTATGGTTTTCATTTTTCTAGGCTTTGTTCCATTCAAATTTTTGTTTTCCAACATTAGATAGGTATCTTAAATCTACTAGAAAAAAAAACTAGACCTCAAGCCATTAAGGGTTATTCAATCCACGAGAACGCTGTTCAAGGTCAAAACCACTTCTGAGCGCAGGTTGGTCCTTACAGCACCGGCCATGAGGTGCCGAGCGCCAATACAGAACCGACCCGACCCACTGAGTGAAAGCTTCTTCAATGAAACTCTGGATCAACGTGCTTAAAATAAAAGGCTGAAGTGTTCCGACCACTTGATTTCAAACCAAGTAGATTTTATGTTTAGAAACACTAAAAAAAGTATTTCATTTGTAAATACGGAAGGAACCAAAAACACTGCTGTATCAATCCAGAATAAAAAAAATTTTGCAAGGACAAGAAATATAAAACTTAGTCACCTTGCCGTTTTACATCTCACAGTATTTGCAAATGCAACTAAAGATGCCAACTCTTGAAAGCCTGTATTTTGTAGTTTTACGGATGGCATCTGCTTACTGTGTATGTCTGACAGGCTGAATAGTTGTTTTTCTGAGCAGTACCCCTTGACTCTATGAGACCATGGTCAAGAACAGGAGCAGGAAATGGGAAGTCGGAGTACGGGCATCACAGTGAAAGTGCTTCAGGCCCCAAGGCGGCAGATGCCGCGTCCCCTCCAAGCCAAAGCTGTGGGGCGTCACTGGCGGACACGGTCGCCAAAGTCAACACTAGGCGAACATTTGAGCTGCCTTGACTTACTGAATATCTTACATCCCCTAATAAACAGTGGTAAAGATTCTTTTCTATTACTGCTTAGCTAGTTAGTGAGGGCCTGGTACTTGTGAAAAGCGGGTCTCTAACGGGGAGCAGAGGCATGTGGTTTCCATGCATTCTGCCAGCACACCTCAGTATCAATCTGTGTGTCTTCCTTGACAATCAACTCCATCTGTCAGGATCTTCCAAAAACAGCCTGTGCCAGTGGAAGGACAGACTCCCTTCACCTTGGAAGCACGAGGTCCACTCCCATTCCCACTCTGGGCTCTGAGAGTAGTGCAAACCCACAATGTAACAGGGTACTGCTTTATTGGGGGTGGGGGTGGAGGGCAACACCATGGTGAGAAACAAAAACAAGCAATACAAGCAAGGACACAGCGCTGTTGAAGCGCTAATGCACCAAGTGACGGCCATAGTCATTATCTAGAGGACTCACTCGTGGAAGGAAAGTGTAATTGCTGTTGCAGAAACGTCTGTATGAAGTAGAAATTGATTTTAATACTATGAGTAGAGAATAAGAAAGTGGAGGTAACTGGATGTAAGATTCTGGCAGCAAAGAACAGTCCCAGATGGTCAGGCTGAGGCCCATACTTGATGAGGACAAAAGCCTTGTCTGTGGGGAATTTTGGATGATACCTGGAGAAACATTACACTGTGTGCAAACCAAATGGAACTGTTTTCACAGGTGTTGTAAAGTTTCATACAGTAAGAGGTTTTTTCTACATGCACTTCAATTTCACAGCGAGAGTGGTGGAGGGCAGCTAAACACAGGAGAGAGCATGCATGGAAGATACCTAGCCTAGCTCCTGGACAGTGATGCGCACGACTCAAAATGATCACACTACTGTTCCATCCAGAGCTTCCTGGAGCTACAAGGTGGTGTTTATGGAAAGCAGGGCCCCTGGTATCAGTATCTAAATGGCAGCACCACCTTTTATGTGTGTTTTCTTTTTGCGTCTTTTCTTCATTTTTCTTAATCAACTCTGCTGCTGCTTCTTAGCGAAACTGGTGAAAACAAAATTGTAATCATTGAACATAGCACTCTGACAATCAACACGTTTAAAACCTTCCATCTTCTGGGACGAAGAAAGCACGGTGCGACATTTAGAACTCTGTGGAAAAATTTAAAGCAACCATTAGTTCTTCCATCTACAGAAGTATTTTCAACAAAAGTCATGCAGTAAGTACTTCTATCTTTTATCTTAATGACACCGTGGCACTCGTTATTTTAGTTGCTTCCTATGAGCTGGAGGAGTGGGACAACCTGTGCAACCCCATGGCAGGCCTGTCAACGGGGATGTGAGGACGGGAGGAGCCCATCAGGCGTAGACAGAAAACAGGGACTGCTGTGGTCTAATGCGACACATGAAGCGTCTCTACCCAGAGCCTCAGCCAGCCCACCGGGCACTCGGTTAACACGCACCGTCTCAGAAGGCAGCTGACGAAATGCTCACATCCCCTATTTCCTGTCAGATTTTATTGCCAACAACAGAACAAATTACCTGGTTTACAAACAGGGTGGTCACAAATTTTCCTGGCTTGAAGACTTCTACAACTTTCCTGATCAGGTCATCGTAGGAGGTCTGACTTAAGTTTGTTTCAAAGCTGACATAGGAGAATTCTGGTTCTGGAGTGATGTGAATAGTCCAGTAAGTTCCCTTAGAGAAACAGTTTTGCGTTAATGATGGAAAAGGGAACACTTAAATATTTAAATAATCATTAAGCAAGGTATCATAGCTTACATCCGATTTCATTCCGTTCATCGAATACCCACAAGGGTTGAACAGCGTGGCGTCAATGACAGAACCTGGTATCAGGTCACGAATCCCACTCTCACGAGTGACGTCCTTCGCGGTAACACCGTCTCTCGCGCGGAACTGGCCCATGACTGCCGGGTCGAGCTCGCTCATCAGGACTTCCAGGGTTTGGTCCGGCTGGCTGGTGGCCCGGCTCTCTGGGAAATCCAGAGTGTACAAGTACCTGGCACAGGGGTGAAGAGCTGTTTCTAGAAGTGGCAACTAGCAGTTTAAAATGCATTTTATATGGAACCAAAAAATCCACAAAATTGTGTCCAACATACCAACAGTCAGAATTCATACGTCCCATACAATATGCTGCTCCATCTGTTGAATGAGGAAAAAGTTGAATGAATTTAACAGATCCGTTTGACAGGATGGCTTCTTTCACCCTTCCAGGAACTAGAATGACACTGCTCGCCTCCAACCAGAAATGGTACCATGAAGGGAAATCTAAGTACCTGGTGGATGCACAGCAAGGCAGCATGTCCCCGGCCCTTTTGAGGGAAATATTTTGCTGGCTGTCATTTAGAGACACTTCTGCCAGGGAGGTGGTCTGTGCAGTGCTCAGAGAAGTACAGCCCACTCTTCCCTGACTCCACAAGGAAATCGGATTTGCTCACCCGTTATCTACACTCTCAAGTAAATACAAGTCATTTTATATAATACATCCTTTCCACATTATTTCAAAGCCTCACTCAACACACTGAATTAACAAAACTGGTAGATATTCACATTAATTTATACTCAGCATTCTCTACAAGTCTAGTGTAATTTCGTATTGGTTGATTAAGTTAAGAATGGAGATGGGGGAAGATCACATTTTCTTTTTAAATCATGCCTTTGACTTTGGGACGTTATTAAGTCATTCTAGGTTTCCAATGTTGTCTAGGATAAAAGGGTGGTAGATAATCTTTAGTTCCCTGACCTGAAGGCTCAAAAAGCAAGGTCAATAAATGAAAGTTTAGTAAACGGATGAAGAAAACCCTGCCAATTTGGTTGAACACTAGGATCTCACTGTGCCAACCCAGTTCCTGAATATATCCTGGACAATGTGTTCTTAACATGGACCAGTTGTCTCCGCATTTGTGTCCAACATACCAACAGTCAGAATTCATACGTCCCATACAATATGCTGCTCCATCTGTTGAATGAGGAAAAAGTTGAATGAATTTAACAGATCCGTTTGACAGGATGGCTTCTTTCACCCTTCCAGGAACTAGAATGACACTGCTCGCCTCCAACCAGAAATGGTACCATGAAGGGAAATCTAAGTACCTGGTGGATGCACAGCAAGGCAGCATGTCCCCGGCCCTTTTGAGGGAAATATTTTGCTGGCTGTCATTTAGAGACACTTCTGCCAGGGAGGTGGTCTGTGCAGTGCTCAGAGAAGTACAGCCCACTCTTCCCTGACTCCACAAGGAAATCGGATTTGCTCACCCGTTATCTACACTCTCAAGTAAATACAAGTCATTTTATATAATACATCCTTTCCACATTATTTCAAAGCCTCACTCAACACACTGAATTAACAAAACTGGTAGATATTCACATTAATTTATACTCAGCATTCTCTACAAGTCTAGTGTAATTTCGTATTGGTTGATTAAGTTAAGAATGGAGATGGGGGAAGATCACATTTTCTTTTTAAATCATGCCTTTGACTTTGGGACGTTATTAAGTCATTCTAGGTTTCCAATGTTGTCTAGGATAAAAGGGTGGTAGATAATCTTTAGTTCCCTGACCTGAAGGCTCAAAAAGCAAGGTCAATAAATGAAAGTTTAGTAAACGGATGAAGAAAACCCTGCCAATTTGGTTGAACACTAGGATCTCACTGTGCCAACCCAGTTCCTGAATATATCCTGGACAATGTGTTCTTAACATGGACCAGTTGTCTCCGCATGGGTTTTCTGAGGTCACTGGACATTTTCTTAGATGGAGGGACCATGGTCTTCACGACCACTCTGAGCGACTGGCCAGATGAAGATGGCCACTCTCTCTGGCAGGTGATCGACTCTCTGATTTCCTTTTTCCATCATTTCAACAAATACTGACCTGAGGTGCATACACACACTATAAAAATTTACATTCAGCTACACCGATACATGCAACTATATAGTGTTACATTTGCATACATATGCTTTAAATATGTGTATATATATAATTCAGATCTGAGAGGATATACCCTCTTAAGCAAACAGGCTCCAATTATATTAAACTTACTTGGGAAAATTGCATTAAGAAACTCTATTTCTTCCTGGAAATTCCGGTGTGGGTACCCTTGGTGAGAAGGCTTCATGAAATTCTTTCGAGAATAAAAGAAGCTCTAAAAACAAAGCAAACAAGCAAACACAGATAACGTCATACAAAGAATTCTATCACCCTTCCTAACCAGCTATTTTCTACATAATGTGTACAAAATCAAAACTACCTCCACAAGTATTCTTCCCTACAAATATTTTCCCCTCTAACATTTAGCATGTTTTCCCTTTAATATGCTCAATGGGTGTGTAGTTGTCTGCTGGCTGAAAAATGAACATGAAGGCTACTGTGTTGAGAGCAAAGGTTCCAGAACGACCCCCAGGAGTTACTGGTACACCGAGCAACGGTTTCTAAGGTGTGGAGAGGGGCCAGCAGAGCATCAGGATGGGACTGGGTCAATGTGTTTCCAGAAATTGGACGCCTACCCTGATGGTGAAGGGTCATAGGGACGAGGTCCAATGCTTACTTCTGGAGCTTTTACACAGGCATATAAGCAAAGCCCATGGTAGAACCGTGTCATTTATTCTCTAAAGAGTAAGTGTGATCCCCAAACTACGAACATAACGCTCTCCATTTCTTTTGGGATCCGTAATTAACAAGAACTGTTTTAGGTCCTAATGACAAGCTGTTCTTAACCCTAATTAAATGGAGTATTAAAAATCAACATCTACTCATCAGAACAATGATGCCCTAAAACACTTTAGTTCCTGAGTGCTATCAGAATGTCACTCAATACTGATGGTTACTCTCTATGAAGTCTGGATAATTTTTCTTGCTTTCCCTTCTTGCCTTAGTTTCTCTACCATTCATAGGAACTATACTAAGCAGTTAACTATTTTAAGTGTCTGGTTTCTTCATTTCTTTCTCCCATTTGAGTTTTAATTCATTCTCTGCATCCTTCCTATTTTCTGTTGTCTTGAGCAAAAAAACCTAGCATTTTCTCATGGTAGGAGGATCATTACCCATTTCACTGGAAGCAGTACCTACACAAATATGCCAGGCATATCACAGAACCCTATCG